CCCCCCCCCCACTCACACAAAACAGCTCCTGGTTTCGTCAACTTCTGTGACGGAAAGGAGCGGTGTGGTCTGTTCAATCGTGGACGCTGTCACGTACATGAGACTCCGCCCACCTCTTGAAGCACGAGACCAATCAGATCATACGGAGCAACTGAACGGCCCACCTCGCAGATGTCACACTACAACCGACTCAAAATCGGGAGGATACCTTTCTGCCAGCCCCTTTTTCTCTTGCAGATGGTGCCAACACTTGGCCCAGTCACCCCCCCCCCCCCTTTTTTTCAGGTGGGGGTGGGGCCCAGGGGGGGATACGACAACGACGACACCAAGTCAGATACTCTCTTATTATTTAAAGAGTCGCCTTTTCTTCTCAGCCGTGTGGAAATTCAGTGAGGTCGTCAGAGAGTAGAGTGTATCATATTCATGCGAGCTTCTCTGGATCTCCTGTGTAAATAATCTCAGATGTCGGCCTGTGAAACCGAACTTCTCCATCGCCTCACCTACACCTCGTGCTAGGAGTCGATCCGTTGTCCGGGGCCTGGGATCTAAGGAACGTAACAAAAGTAACCGCGTGTGTGTGTCAGTGCATGTGCACTGCACCTTCACCAGTGTGTTGTCAACTGCGGTTAGACGGAGGGCAAAGACACACATACACACACGTCTAAGAGTTTGGTTTTATTGGTTGGAGAGTTTTCTGGTTACTCGAAGCTTCGCGTGAACACGGTAAGAAGTTTGTTGCCAACTAGTGACATTTTAGTCGTAGTCTCTAAGACTTATTCAATAAAGCGGTAAGAATCCAGTAGTACTCTCTAACAAATGAAATCAAATAGTAAGACTTAAATTGTACTCTCTAACTAATTTCATGAAATAGTAAAAATTCAGTTGAAGTCTACAACCAATTTTATGAAACAGTAAGACTTTAGTTGTAGTCAGAAAACTAACTCAATGATATATTGCCCTTTAGACTTAGTATCTAACAAGTTCAATGAAATTATTGTGGGATGACATAGTGCCATGGTTTCGTACGCTAGAAAGTAACTCTAACTGACGGTAAACATGAAACATACACACCTGTCAGGTGTTAAGTACAATAAATATATTTTATCCGCTTATGTAATTTCTTTAATACACAAATTATTATTTTTTAAATAGAAATTCATGCAAGTTTTTTATTCTTAAATTAAAAAAAATAAATAAATAAAAATAAAGTAATTAGCAGACATTTTAAGAGCCAATTTAGTGAAATATTAAAATAGTTTTATATCGTTTCCTAGCTGGTCATGGTGTTGGGCTAAGACAGAACTAAGTCAGAAACGTCCCAGCAAGACGTCAGACACTTTAGTCAGTAGGACGCGATTGGACGACGTCTCTGGGTCAAGTCTGGCACTGTCATGGATAACAGTCCCGTGGGATTGATGGACGCGGCTGGACTACTGCCCAGTCCCTCCTGTCTGCCCGGCCACGATCGCCCTGGAAGCATCACGAATCTTACACTACTGTCCTCGCCGGGGATGACCAATGGCATGGCCGCCAACACATCCAACAATCGATGCAGTTCAGCCAACCAAACAGCCAACAGCAACGGCACCAAAAACAACATCATCCTGAACAACAACAACAACAGCCCGGATTTAAAACCGGGGTCGCCGCTGTCAGCCGGGACGGATTTACTCACGGGGAAAAATCTGGCATTCTCTCCGGAACAAGTGGCCTGCGTCTGCGAGGCCCTGCAGCAGAAGAACGACATCGACCGGCTCGCCAGGTTTCTGTGGTCGCTCCCGCCGAGTGAGCTGCTCAGGGGCAGCGAGGCCGTCCTGAAGGCCAGGGCGATGGTCGCCTTCCACAGGGGCAGCTACCGCGAACTCTACGCCATCCTCGAGAGCCACACGTTCGACAGCTCCAACCACGCGTTCCTGCAGCAGCTCTGGTACAAGGCCCACTACATGGAGGCCCAGAAGATCCGCGGGCGGCCCCTGGGCGCCGTGGACAAGTACCGGCTGAGGAGGAAGTACCCGCTGCCCAAAACGATCTGGGACGGCGAGGAGACGATCTACTGTTTCAAGGAGAAGTCCAGGCAGGCGCTCAAGGATTGTTACAAGCAGAACCGCTACCCGACACCGGACGAGAAGCGGGGACTGGCCAAGAAGACCGGCCTGACGCTGACCCAGGTCAGCAACTGGTTCAAAAACAGACGACAGCGGGACAGAACTCCGCACACGGTTCCACACATGCAGTAAGTAATCTATCCAAACAGTTTTGTATGTCCTATTAAATACACAATGTACGCAGTCATCCTTCCGTTGTTGGAGTCAACATACACAGTGACGATGACGTAAAAAAAATGCGAAAATATATGCTTCTAAATTTAAACAATTATTTCTAACACATTAGTTAAAGAAAAAAAGTCTTTAGTTCTTTTTGCAACAGTGGAGTAGCCAGGGTCACTGCACCGGAGTTGGATCAAGCTTTCTGTCGCCCCCCCCCCTTTCCACGAAAAAAAAAAACCCAACCCTCTTCAGGTGGCCTAAAACGCCTACCCTCATTAATTATAAAAACAAAACCGCTACCCGGGGCGGACAGCCCCCATCCACACCCTCTTCCTACACCATCTGTTACCACCAATAAATATCGAACTAGTATTATTTCATTGTACAACAGGTTATGGAAGGACCACCTCATTGACTCAACTCCACCAAATATAACAACCATATCAGTAAACATACTAAATTAATTTGTTAAAATAATGAATTATCAGAATGATTAATGCAGTTTAATTATACGCTGATTTTTTTCCCCTTCGTTACAACAATTATTAACAAACATTCCAACGACCGATTACGTCCTTAGATATCGATCTACTTCCTGTTCCACCCCTTGCCGTTAATACATTTCCTTAAAAAGTAGATATCCCCCCTTCCATAATCTCAAAATCGACCCCCCTCCCCCACTCATTTGTAAGGCGGACCTACACTGTCACAAAGTCGTAAAAAAAAAAAAAAAAAAAAAAAAAAATCTGTTGTTTTGGTTTTGTGTGTCCCGATCAATCAATCCCAGCCAAGAGTTCCTGCAACTGAACACGGCTAGTAAATCTCTCTGTAATTGCCCCACTCCGACGACGGACGTCAGAACGTATTGGCGTTATCCATGCGAGCCCCGGTACAAACCGTGGTACAATGGGCCCCCCTCCCGACAAGCACTGGTCATCCCCGGCGCTAGCTGCTCCTGTGAAGGGCGTCCGGCCGTGACAGGATATTGTTCGCCCTCAAGCGTAGCACGAGGATTTCCACAGCGGGCCGTTGAACCGCGACCCTAGGAAAATATTCACATCTATGAAATGATAATAATTTCGGCGCCGTCTTGTCTTGTGCCCCACATTCACGGGTTGGTGGATGAACGGACGATAAGGCTACCTTCGGGTTGATACGGGGTTGATACGGGGTTGATAAGACGAGTGTGACAGGTCCCCGTACCCCAAAAAAATGCGCCACCAGCTATTTTACATTTAATTCATATTTTAATGAGTCGCTGGCACCCTGCCAGACCCCAGCGTGTTTTAGTTTAGCCCCTCGTTTATTTTTGTCGGCATTAATCTAGATTGCAAGCCACCCGACGCACCGTCGAGCTAGGACTCGAACCTCTTTCATACATCAAAACTCTTTACCCTTGCGCAGACACACATCCTATCTGCTACCTGACTTCATTGGTTTTCTTCTTGTTTTTGTCTATAACTCTTTGCTCATCACATCAGATCTCGGACTGAACATATCATTTCTTAGACATTCACATTTCTAGCTCTCATCCTCTTTTTTTTTTTTTTTGTTGTCTATCTATATCAGGGGTCGGAAACCTATGGCTCGCTAGCCAGATGTGGCTCTATTGATGGCTGCATCTGGCTCGAAGACAAATGTTCGATTACAAGAACAAAGTTTTCATTTAGACTCCCTTGATCTGCATAGAAATTGCATATCAATATTTCATTCTACACATTTTATACAATTTTTAATGTTAAACCTAATGTATGGCTCTCACAGAATTACTTTTCAAAATATGTGGTGTCCATGGCTCTCACAGAATTACTTTTCAAAATATGTGCTGTCCATGGCTCTCACAGAATTACTTTTCAAAATATGTGGTGTCCATGGCTCTCACAGAATTACTTTTCAAAATATGTGGTGTCCATGGCTCTCACAGAATTACTTTTCAAAATATGTGGT